GACTGTGTACCTAATAAAAGCGAAGCTGGGCTTTATATCCAAAAGGGGCTTCTTTTAAAAGAGAAAAGATTTTAAAGGCTGGGATGGGAAGTCAATAGTATAGAAGCTTTTAAAGGCTTGAATAGGGGAGCCAATAAAAGAAACGTTTTTAAAGGCTTGCATGGGGTGACAATAGAAGAGAAGCCTCTCTCTCTCTCTCTCTAGTAAATTCTTTATTGCCAAATTCATTTAGAAGTGGTTATACTGTAACTGATACATATTAATCAGTGAGTATCTTGTGTCAAAATATAGAATCTGCTTAAAATAATCATTTTCATAAAAATTTGATTTGATTATTTTTGACATTTTTTGTAAAAATCAAAAAGAATTGTAATCAAAAAAGACACATGTACATGGTGAGTGAGGTCACAATGCATGACGCTTTTTGTGATGATGCTGGTTTATAGAAAGCAAACGTTTTACGATTCAACTCCCATCATCTAATATTCTGTACCACACCACATACAGGTACGCTTTTCCTGAGCTGACGCATAAACACCGTAATATAACCCAAACTCTGAGTAAATCCATAGAATAAATGCAATAATGGAATTGTTAGTGGTGGAATGGCGGGAGATTAGAATTCAACACATTTAGTATGCAAATTATTATGCAAATTACATTACGCTAAAAATAACCATACCAGCATACATGCATGCTTTATTTTCTGATTATAGTGAAAGACAGAGGGAGGGGGGTCAGATTTTCCCAGTATTAAATATGAGGTTATCGTATCCACCTACACATAGCGGAGATCAACATGACCACGTAGTTATGATAACCTTGTTATTATACATCTTTTTTCCTTTTTGTAATAATAACTTGAGAGATTGTATCCCCAATATGGCAACCACTGTGTGCCAAATATCATTTGCATTCAGTTTTAGGATTATATTATATAGGGGGGGGGGTAATGCCATTTAAAATTGTGAAGATACCAACTAGCCAATTCCTGAAATGCCAAAACTTAGCTCATTTATTGACTAGATAAGTAATGTTTGTAAAAATGTAAAAATGTTTGAAATATGATCAATCTGAATGTTCTCACTATACTGATGGTTTCATGCATTAACATAATATGGATTTTCATTTGAGAATTTCACTGTTTCTAATTCACCTGATGGTGACAATGCACATGATTTATTTGTTTTCTTCACTTCTTCGCTACTACAGTAGACCTTAGTCCTACCTTGGGTTGAACATTAAAAAGGGTTAGCCCCTTACCCTGGGTGAGTGCGCCAGACTCGATGGGAAAGGCTAAATGCACAGGCTGAGATTCATTCACTATTGTGGGAACCTTGGTTAAGGTGCTTGTTTGACCGGGCCTGGTTGACGACAAATAGCGTATCAAAATTACCATTATTGCCTTAATGCCATTATCCCATGTAGTCCCAAACAGGAATATCGTCTACAATTTTTACATTTTTTAAGTTAAAATGCATGTAAATAACATACAGTAAACTGTTTCATTTTTGCTACGAGGTATTTCCAAAATTTTGTTCAAGTCGCTGAAACTCATAGAGCCTGGAGAATTTTCACCACTACAAAATTTGAGAAAATTAAAAAAAATTGTCTGTAGACGTATGCAAAGGTAATGTACAATATGATCGATTGAGTCAATGTGGCATTTTTAAAGACAGCATTAGATATAGCTAAGGGGAGAGTAGGAAATCAAATGAGCAGTTCACCACGGTCATTACCACGGTGGAGGTCAGAGATTGCCAGTCGACCGCATTTTATGCAAATTTATGCAAATTTATGCAAATTTATGCATAGATTCCATGACATTGGCTGACGCGGCCGTGTGTGGTAGGCTTGCACAGCAATTCACACTTGGAGAAAAAAAGGAAATATGAAATGCATAGCAAACAATATATTTTCTAAAAGTCAAATATATCTCCCTGAATAGATCCTTTATACGACATACTACCACAAGACTTCACACATGTTTCTAGAAACGAGAATTTGATTCCAGTCTGTGTGCAAAGTGATTGACGCGATGAGGATTGAAGTCTCAGCAGGACACACCTCTTTGGACATCACAAAAACTTGTGTCCTGCATAGTGTATATAAAATGTACTGCTAAAGATAATGATTTAGAAGTACAGAGAATAAGAAGTAAGCATGCAAACAGTCAGTAGGATATGCTTCAATACCGCGTCTATTTTATTCACACAAGTGTTGAAAGTGTCACAGCCTTGCACAGTTTCTCAATCAATAAATGCATTGTTTTCTTTCAAACAAGTGTTTAGATACGACTATGATGAGACATGAATGAATGTACGGTAATGCTGGTGAAATTACATGTATATAAATGAATAATAAAATCTTTTATATAAATACATCTACCATACTGGCTCTATTAAAAGTGATTGTAAACATTATAAATTTTAAGTGTTTCATCATGCGTGACTGTCTTAAGTTAGATTCTCTGAAAACAGCAACAGTTCACAAACACACCGGTAATAGAGCAAATACAGTATTTAATGAAAATATGATATCTAGTTTTCATGAAAAACCGATGTTAAGCTTATTTGCTGTAATGCAAGGAAGTTTTCCAAATTACAGCACACATGTATATAAGGAGGGGGTGGGGTGATATGAAACCCATTTCAGACTGTTAAATATTCACCAATCACAGTTTGGCAAGTAAAATATTCCAATGCAGTCTAACATAAACTAAATCTGTTTTTTTGTTATTGAAATAAAAAACAAACCTAACTTTTTCTCACAATAGCACAAAGAGAACTTGATTCACACCACAAATCACAAGTAAACATTTTGAAACATTAATTTCCTGAAATTTTACATTGACATTACATTGACAGATAAGAGTTAACTATTCGAGGTCACTGGCTATTTGAGAAAAAAAATATTGGGGTACCAGAACTAGTTTTTGAAATGCAAGTACCTCTACTATGTACTTCAACCCAATTTCAAGTTTCAAAATGGCCAACAGTGCCTAATTCTGCGGGTTAAATTCTAAATCATCCTTGGAAACAAGATTGAGTGGCAGCTTTTTTTGTTAGTTAGCAGGGCTACTAAATAGAGCCGAGATAAAAATGGTTGCCAAAATATATTTGAAAGAGAAAGAACCATGCGGCTTGTTTACGCCCCACTGAACAGTGTTCCATTACATCATCTAGTCCACTGTTCTTCTCATCTATGTTGCCAAGACAACTACAGTGGAGATGCAGGAGAGAATGAAACACTTTTTTGAAAGGTGAAAACAAGTCACATGGCACTCTCTCTTTCTCCCTCTCTCTCAAACTCGCTAATCATTTGTGTTTAGGGTACATTTTCAGCAATGGTTTTACATATTTTTCTTACTGATGAATCTGTTTTTTTCCAGCTATCATGTTATATTAATTAGCGTACATCTATGTGCAATTTAAAAATGGAGCATTTTAATTTTCTTTTTAAAAATGGCAGTTAATTTTGCCAAATAATTATAAATTTATCTAAATTAATGACAAGGGTGAATAAAGGAAGAAGCCAATTCATTTAAACAGCATGCAGCTATGAGTAAATGTTTCATAGTGTGTTTACTGTTGCATTACTCTTAATTATCATCTATCAATATATATAGCAAGAAAGTGCATTATCAATTTACTGATATTGAATGGTTCACGACTGAAATAATACATGCAATTACATTTGCATTACAAACATTAGATGTGGTACTAGAACAGTTGGTAGCCAAGAAGGAACGGCAACATTCATTATCCAGCAAGAAAGAACGGCAACATTCATTATATCCAGTGTAAGCAAACACAACTGTAGCTCCAGGTGCAGCTCAGCACTATCAATAAATGATCTTATGAACTACACAAGGGTTGAAGGTTGGCAAGACATTATCGCAATCATGCTACAAAAAACTGCAGCACACCTGCAGTGTAGCAACGTTATATGTGGGAATGAACACTTCACTATTAGCACGGGTGGACAGACGGATGGATGAACAGATTGATGGAAATAAAGTAAACCATTCAGCAATTACGCTTACTTTAATAATTTTTAGTATATACTAATATGGGATATATATTATACATTCGTGGGATAGAAGCGCATATTTCATATCGAGCTACTAGTGGTACATAGCCTGAAAATATGTAAAACTGTTATTTTTACCATGCAGTAAGTTTAATGAATATCAATAAATTAGCCGAGCAGTTAAACATGACGATGGTTCCAAATATGACAAAAAAAATTGGGTTGGACATCTGTGAGCATTACCTTGGTACACTAAGGCTGGAATCGTGAAAGGGAACCAAAAAAATAGAAGGGATAAAAAAAAAAAAAATCAGTTTTACGTTACAGCTGTCACAAATCACAATCACAAAAATCTGCTTCTAAGTCCATGACATTTTTGATAATGATTATTTAAATTTAAAAAATGATTAATTTTTAATGAATATCATCGTATACTGATGTACGATAATTTCAGCAACCATTTATGATACTTGATCGGACATATATGGGAATTACTTGAATAAAGAATTCATCAATTTTTAATAAAAGTCATGTACAAAATACCTTTCACTGAAAAATAAATAAATTTGAAAATTTATTCTCATACCTGATTCGTCAGAATCATCAATTTCTAGTGGTACCTCAGCGATGCGATAGAGCCGGTGGTCCTCAACCATGTTATGATTCTCTAAATAGGTCTGGATTAGTTCCTCAGATGTCAATGAATCGGTGGCTTGAAATGTATCGCAGCGGTGCTTACCTGCGACAAAATTAACATATGATTTTAGAGATCCCAAAAAAAAATCTTTTTGGTTACCTGAATTTCAAAGGTATGTGTAGTATTCCATTTCTTTAACCCCCCCCCCCCCAAATAAACAAGGCATGCACACAACAGGGGAGGCTTAGAATAGCAGTAACATTTTCTGAGAGGCTTATTTACCTTCGCTATATGTACAGTAATCTTTTAATAGCTAATTTTTCCCCACTGGAATTTCAGTTTACATAGCAGCACACGTATTGTAATTTCAACAGGAATTGTAATAATAACAAATTTCACTTTTCAGTTTCCTTTGACCCCCTTGAATGTCAAAGTCAACTTATGTCACTTTTCATCAAATAAATTTGCATTATTTTTGCAATATTTAAAAAAAAAATAGCAAGATTTGCAGCTAATGGAAAATGATATAAATCTGACCTAAAGTAATTTTTTTGTAGATTTTGTTAAATTATTTTTTAAAAATGTGTAAAAATTTGCAAACCGTTTTAACAAAATTTTGGCGGGAAAAAAAGTCTGACATTCAAAGGGTCAATAAATAAGAGAGATTGGAGTCCCAACAGGTTCTAATGAAGCTTAGACACAAATAGACTCAAAGACTTGCCGAGAGTGAATGAATGAATGAATGAGTTTATTTCACTATAAAACATACATACAGATATTGATATACAAATGAATTATAAATAAAAATGATAAATAAACAAATAAGTAAATAAAATTGAGTAAATAATTAAGAATTTTAAATATATATTTTTGGATATTTATATAAATTGCTTATAGTGAGGATCACGGAAATAGTTCCCTGGAACTAGTGAGATAGCAATTCTTCTTACTAACCATGGTATTTATAAAAACATCTGATAAAACCTCACTTCAACTATTTCAAACATAAATATTAAAGGGCGTCAGTCGTCTCGCCGCATCCTGTTTGATATGGGACTCATAGCGACGTATACAACGAGTGTAAAATACATTGTTTATTTACATGAAATTCAAACACGCGCTGCTCGACGACAACCGCGATTTAAAGCACAGTTTACTGACCTTGCTGTGAGAGGTCACTCCACATCTGTATAATGTTGGTGTCTTTCTTTTTAGATGATATCACTCCTTTGAGTTTGGATAACCTAGACAGAAACAAAATAAAAACATTCACACAATCTAGCAATTGGAAAAAACATGTACAAAATGTAGTTTGTTTTTTAATAAATGTTAGGGAAATACTTTCACTCCTTGCAAAATATTAGTTTTTTTTTTACATACAATATCATTGTTTTGAATCATTAATACATTACTGAGGACATGAATGACTTTAAGTTGCTGTGTCATTTTCATACCACTGTAGGAGCTTGATCACTTATGATGTGAGATTTTGAAACAGCGCCCTCAGTGACTTAATAGAGTAGATTCAAACATCACATTTTATGCAAATTAGGCAAACAACAAACAAGACAAGTTCTTCTTATTTTCATTTCCTTCCTTGAACATTGAAATATCTACTCACCCAGAAGAAGACTTCTTTTTGTGGTCTACGTTCTCGTTTCTTCCTATCACTTTATTCTCAGTTATGTTTGTACTGCTATCTTGCGGTGGTAATTGCACATGCACGTCAGATTTCAGTGCTGTGACTGCTGCCATATACTTTTCTCTCTCATACCCAGTCGCCTTGTTAGCATCATCTGAAATACAAATGACGAATCAGTGTGTTACCTCAGTACATATTTACAGAACTGACACAAGAAGCCACAGTTTTCTGACTCCACAGTTAGTCGAAATTCTCCGGAAACTTGTATTTGAAGAGATGCACAAAAAATAACCATGGGCGCATGGCTAATTTCACACTGAAGTTATGTGAATGATAAAACAGTCGGTTGATTTAGCACAAAACACCACATGCCATATGAGTATTAATACCAGCGACACTGTGTGTTGTCTCATTTCAGTTGTGGGGTGTCTCTCCCATTCTATCCACAGCTGTCAAGATAATTGTTCTCAATTCAACATTCAATACTATCGATGATATCGTTAAATTTTCGACAACTACAATCAGTAAACATACACACAAGATTTTTAATGGTTTATGTACAAATATGTTATTGACATTCTCATGTTTTTTCCTTTAACACAAAATTTTAGTGAAATATTTGTTCATGTATTTTTCTGTGAATCTGTCGTTAATTTTGGACAAAATGAACATAATTTTGTCATTGCCCGCAGGCTGTGATCAAAATCTTTTTCAAAAAAGAAAAAAAAATACATTGCTTTATTTTGTGACAGGTAAGTAAAATTGAAGTTAGGGCATCTATCCAAACTGAAGCTTTACAACTTTGATAAATGCCTTCATTATGGAGCAAAATTTAACAAATTTTTCCATAATTGCGCTGTATTTGACAAACTGGACTTTAATTTACAAGGGGTTGTCATGTTTTTTTTTAACCCGGGAAAAGGCCTCACAGGTTTATTTTGTGAATAACAATAGTATGAACATGGAATATGTTGACAGTATCAATTCACTATTATTATTTTTTTTAACAGAAAAAAATCAATAAAGGTATCAGTTTTGAACAGATGTCAAAAACTGCAGGGTCAACTGTGAAGCCATTAGTGCATGTGGAGATGGTACCGGTATGTGTCACACACTGACAGTTTTTAATGAACACATTTTCGCATGATTCTTAAATGCAAGTTACAATTCATGTTCATGTTCATGTTATTTTTTGACATGCATGTAGTTACACACACAATTGAAGTTCAGCTAATTTTCATAAATACAAATATTACACTTTTCTGTGATGATATGAAGTGATGGCATATATTTCACAGCTATTATCTGTGTTTGCAGTAGCAAGCTACCAATCAGAATGCAACAAATGTGATTAACTGGCATTACAATACCTAACTCTGCGTAAACAAACTTTCTCTACTGTAGGACATTTTCATATAAAAGGAGCCTATTAAAACACCTCCATACTAAATATACGTGTAACTTTTCATTTAAAATCAAGGTTATATAAGATAAGGGTAGGCAACTAGTGTGATATGTGATGTGAAGTCACATGAACTGCAAGATGATCATAAAATGGCATTTTGCATTTTCATGTAGGTGATAATCTCACTCATTTTCATGTTCAAACCTTCCCAAGTGCTCACTGTATGTTCTTTGGTTCAAAATGTGTTTAATTGAGATGCATGTGGAATTGAATCTTTTTCATATATTAGCCACCGATATCTGAGTTGTATGCCCTTAATCTTAGAAATCCTAGTTAAAATTTAATATAATCTAGTCTTTTGTTACCAAAGAGAAACACATTGGGAGCTTACATTGTATATTAAAAAAGTATAAAAAGTTTTCGATCTGCCAATTAAATTGTCATGTTGCTACCAGAATTTCTCCCATGGGAGTGAGTGGCTCATACATGTATCTAATGTGCAAAATCCAAGTACAGATCCAACAAAAAACATATACATGTACTTTAAGGTAGAAGCCTACTCATAATTTTTGAAAAAAGTTGGTCATAAATCGCATGATAATGTTCATTGGTTTATGTAGAATCATGGAGCTATTGAATTTTTTGGCATTTTACAGTGATGTTTTTTGAGAAACTTGTCCCAATATTTTAAAAATTATGCTATTTTTCAGAACTATTCCATAGAACGCAATATTAGAAAAAATTCCATATCCCCAGGCTACAGTAAAAATGTTTCAATACTGATAAAATAGACTACCCACAAAAATACAACCATAGTTTTCTGGTTATCCCAAACTTTTTTAAAATAAATATACTTATATTGTCCTGAAGTATAATTTATTGCAAAATGAATAAATTCTGAGTATTTTTTATTTGTGAGTAGACGGCTACTTTTAATAATTGTATTTTGTATCAACATTCAGAAGAAGATCCCAAAAATGATTACTAAACATCTGTCACACTTCCATCACAGAGTGCTATAATTTTGTATTATTGCACTGGGTATCTGCATCCTATCATAATAGGAAATGTAGTCAATTCAAAAAAAGAACAGGATATGTAAGATTTTCAGGACAACAAGCGTGTTTCAATAGAAAGTTGCATTATGCTGTAGTTTTTCAGCACACAGTATCTACATCCTATGTTATTAAGGACACCAAATATTGACGATTGCACAAAATTTTCAAAATGGAAGGCATGCTTTAAAAAAAAGTTTGAGACTTTTTACACCAAGTGGTTGTAGGATGAGAAAGATGCATATTAATGAGATTATTGATTACACAGGCAGTACATGACTGCATCAACGTCTGTGTGTCAATAATATTCCCACTTTGTGGAATCCCTGCAATAACCTCATATTACAGTTATTACAAGATGTATCAAAATAAAAGACTTAAGATTTAGGAATCTGTCAGTTCAATCCATACATTTTAAATTTTCATAAATTTTACTGGCCAACAAGTCATTGAAAATGACACAGTCCCTGTTAAATTTTCAAAAGTTCTCTTTGTGCGTGGCATATTAAGGTAGAGATGCAGGTTTGTGGGCACTTGGGAGTGAAATTATTTTTTTTTTTGCTTTTTATTATCCAAACA